AACAGAAGCACAAAAGAACGGGAGCATTCCGTTGTATAAACAAGAGAGCAGTAATACAACACACTACAATTTACACACAAAAATAGGGGCACAATAAAAAAGACAAAAAAGAATAAATTGTGAGTCCTTCACGTACTCTCACCAGAATTTTCCATCCTTGTTTATAAGTGTGTGATATTCTATAATCAACCCCTCAGCCAAAAGGTGAAGGAACGGGTCCAGCAATGGCATCGGATCTTTTAATGCTCCCCATGCCACAAATAATACAACCAGGAGCAGATAGAGCAGAAAATTTGGCCCCACAAAGGTCACACACATCATAACCGATGGTCGATAGACGGCTAAGTGTAGCAGCACAGAATTGTGAAGGATCTTCGAGTGGGTCAATGGATTTGTTGGTCAAACCCCTTTGGACACACATGTCAATCAGGCTTCTCAACTCGTCTTGCTTGCCAGACGGCGCTTTGGATAGCAGTAACTCGAGCATCTGTTTCGCGTAGGCGAAATTCTGAACGTCCATGTTTCGCTTGATGGCAGTACGAATGCAATTTATCCGGTGCTTAGCGAGGAGAGGCAATGAGCCCAGGTGGCGTGATAATCGAGCCATCTCGTCTTTTGCGCTGATTGCACTCGGGCCTTGGACTTTTTGCAGTCGGTTTATTTCCTGTATAACCAATGAAAGGAATACAGGGATTTAGTTAAAGAAAATGTAAGAATGGAAACATACATCTTCAAAGTNNNNAGACTCCAGGTAATACAATATTTGCTTGAATCATGTAAGAAAGTGTAGGAAGTAAGATATTTTATATATAACGAAACTTGACAGCAAAAGAGAAACACATCACCTGAAGGAGGGTAACAGCAATCTTGTACTGGGCACAAATAGTAGCTTGAGCTTTGATGTCAGCTCCACGTGATTGATCCTTGGCCAGCGCTAGGAAAGCCTCATCAAAACACGATAACGCATCTGAGAGTTGATTCTGCTCCAGGTGAGTGAGTCCCGTCTTAAAGCAAACTGCTGCGGCGGCACCACGGGGTACCTGGAAGAAAAAGGATACCACAACATTTTTAACGCATTCTGATTTCATCAAGCCACCCATCCCCGACCCCGCCAACAAAAACCCTTGGGGTTTAGGGTTTATGAGTTTTCAAACTTCAAAATCATTTCGAGGTACCCCATTCTCATATTTAATATACTGGGGAAGAATTTCAAGAGAGGAGTGCGAATTAGGAAACAGAAAAATGAGATTCTACCTGGCCAGGACGCACAGCTTTCGGAGGAGAAGCCGAACGCGCAGGAGATATTCCAGATGTTTCCGACCCCGGACCTTCAAGAGAACTAAGATCAAGTGGCTGACTAGAAACAGTGGCCCCTCCCACCATCTGGATCTGCTGAGCCTGAGACGGGGCAGCAGCAGCTTCAGGCAACGATTGTGGCGGAACACCACCGTCCGGAAGCCCAATGTATGGAACAGATTGCTGCTGTTGCTGTTGTTGACTCATCACCTGAGAGGAGGGGGGTACCCCACCATCAGGCAGACCAACCTCGGCCCCCACACCCGCCACACTGGCCTGAGCATTCGGAACCATATTGTTCTGAGCATTAGGATCCAACCTCGACAAGACCGTCCCCGCTGGCGGCAGCGATGCTGCAACCTGAACGGACGAGATCGTGTTCTGGAAAAAATCCTCCGGTATAGGCCCCACGGCAACCCCAACACCAGGTCTCCCAGAAGAAGCAGGCGGCGGCGGCAATGCCGGCGGCATTACCAGCGAACTAGTCCCAAAGAGATCGGCCGGGACAGATGTTGCCTGACTGGAAACTGGTGGAGCAGACTGTGGTGGTGGCATAAGCAGGCCGCCGAGATCTGGGGACGATCCGGTCAGCGACTTGGTCCGACCCATGGGAACACCAAGCTGCTTCGTGGCTTCCTTGATTTTGTTGACGTCCACAGTAGCCGACGAGGCTGGCTTGTCCCGAATACGTATGTGCAGCTTCTTGGCTTTCGAGGCAGCTCCTCCCCCTTCCTCCTCATCACTGCTACTTCCGCCGCCGGCCGAGCCGTAGAGGGACTTCTTGAATTCCTCCTCAGCCTTTGCCTGTGCGTCGGAAGACGTAGACTGCTGGGAGGAGAGTGTCTCCAATCCCATGAGAGATCCGATTTTTGGATCGGAGGACACGGCAGGCATGTGGGCCCCACTGTCTTTGACGGTGCCAATGCCAGTGCCAGTATCGGATTTCAGGGCTCGCACTAGGCTGTCCTCTCTGACTTCGACCACATTGCCCCGGCCTTTCATGAGGCCAAGGTAGACGCCGATGTGGTCAGTGACGATGGATGGGATAGTGCCGTCGTCGGTTCTCATGTAAGGCATGACCTCGGCAGCGAGAGCCCACTGGGGTATGTCCTTGAGATTCATTGGGGTTTTGATCTCCCAGTTTCCGCCACCCCACTCGCGGCCCTTGGGGACCATGCTCTCTGCGGCAAAGTTGGCAAAGATTCCCTGGGTCCACCCAGTCGAGCGGACTCGGAGGATCCGCTCACAGTGTCTACGCAGTTCAGGGTCAGACCCCTCGTCTTCTAGCTTCTGGGCGAGATGACGCATCGCGCTGGGGTTGAGGTGGCAGATGAAGAGGTCGAGCATGCTTTGATAGTCTGCTATGACTTCGAAGGTCTCTTTTGCACTGTCGAATTGACCGTACCTGTACATTTTACAAGTTATGAATGATGTCAATTCACTTTGTGTGAAGACGGTAGCTGTAAAACTTCTGCAATTGGAGGAGGGAACATGCATCTGAGAGGTACAGTAAAATATGCGTTACGTCTGAAGGGCACACTAGTGGCCCCAGAACCCAGATTTTTGTAATTGTTGTTATGTACCTGATACATGCATATCCCAACTGGCGGAAACGGTGGAACAAATGTGAAGTGGGGGGGCAACGAGGGTAATCTCTCGACCGCAAAAACTCGTCCTTCAGTGCAGATAAAGCAGTGGAAAAACGGAGTGCTTTGATTGCGTATATTCCTCTCAAGACCTGAGCCCGGAAAAGTATAGGCTTTTAACAAAGAATGTGATTTTCTGATTCTGAATAACAAAATGGTAGAGAAATGCACCTGAGTGAATTGCAGGCCCGACTGTGATAACGAGACAGCAAGATCACCGCAAACTGGAGGACCTCTGGCTAGAATATCGAGTGATCTTGGAGTAATTCGCAGACTATCAAACCTTCAGACAGACAATAAAAATTATGTCAGTAAACAGTGATTTGCAGCATTGTTGAAAATTACATTATTGCAGACGAATGAAAAATAAGGGCAATAAATTTTTTTTATCATTGAACTGTAAGAGTCGACTACAGAGAAGTATGTCAGTAAGCTACAAAAGGAACCTTGATGTTATTTGGTAGAGGACTTCTGACAGATCGAGCTTCTGCTCAAAATGTTGCTGCATTGTTGCAAATCCAATGAGAAGGGGTTCAAGCAGCCCAACAAGACAATTCTTAATCTCAAACTTCTTCTTCTGTCTGACATTTATCTCAGTTGTGTTTACAAGTAGCAGACGATCATTTAAAGCTCCAAGCAACACTGTATTGAGACAGCCAATTACAAAGCTCAGAAAAGTTGGAAAAATTCTATGTTGTAAATATCTAGCAACATCAGTGTTTGAAAATTCAGTCATGAGAATTCCCATTTTGGAAAAAAAATAAGTTGGTCAACCTGCATTAGGCATACAGGTAGAGAGTATGGTCCTAACTTTTCCATCCCAACCAAGCACATTTACAGAAGTAGAAGTGGAAAAAAGAAGAGCTGGCCCAAGCCACAGCAGGGATCTATAGTAAGGAAGGGTTAAAGGCACACATATGTTTTAAACATGAAAAATATAAGAAAAAAGGTAGCAGACTACTAGCAGTTACAAAAAGAATGGTGGATTGATTCATTCATTTATTTGTTTTGTGTGTGTGTGTCGGGAGAGGGGGGTGGGGGGGTTCTTGAGATAGATATCAGTTAGTGTAAAGGATATTGAAGGAAGTCCTTTGTCAAACTTGGCAGAACTACAAGCCAACACGTCTAAATCAGCTGTAACAATGAGCACGCGCAGTGTGGTCAGTATACCAGCAACAAAGCCCCTGAGTGTTTCTTGCCATTGTACCTAAGCAAGAAAATTGGAAAGATATATGAGAACCTTCCAACCAACTCGTGGCATGGAACCATTAAAGCATCACATCTGCATTAAAAAGTCTTTCTCATTCAGCTCGTAATCACAAACAGTTAATTTCTCCATCTATGACTTATGACTGCCAAAAGAAAACCACAAAAGCAGAAGTTATTCACTGCACATCAATACCATGCTAATATTCCTCATGTAGCAGTGAACATTGTAAGATTGCATCAACTATTGGGGCTAGTAGGCTACTTGAAAATCCCTAAAATAACAATTATAATATTGCTCATCTATCACTTTTACTCACGACGAAATTAAGAATAAACTGAAATAGTAAATTTCTGAGCTAGTTAAGCAACATCGTGCTGAGCAATACAATTTAGCAAGTCTACATCTCACAGGCTTTATAGAAGGCAAGGCAAGCACTTAAGACAAAATAGAAGGTTGAGTCAGCAACTCAAAATTGACAACCGAACAATTACCTGAAGTACAGTCTCATTTACTTTCAATCTAATGAACTTCCGCCCTTCAGCTTTCGTAGGGATATAATGCCCATCAGCACTAGGAAGACGGTACCCGGTGATCAGTTTCCCAAAACCAATCTGATCTCCATGAGAAGCAAACATTACAGTTGACTCTACAAAAGATGAACCCTGGATCAGAATATAGAAATTTTTTCAAGTATGGATAAACTGAAAACCACTCCTTCCTTCAGCACCTAGTGGAGTAGAAAAGATACGATCCACTTCGCTTTCAAACATAAACTGCACAGGACCCTTAATAGACGCAACTTCAGTTTCCACAGACTGGTTTTCATTGAAAGACCCATTTTTCTCAAGTGCTTGCGTGGCAGCGCCAGGCAACAAATATAAGGAAAGTGCAGTCTTATCGTCATCAAGGACAACAAATTGATTTTCAGTCGGACCAACAAAAGCTGCATCCGAACCTGAAAGATTACGCCGAATGACATGAGCACTGAGCACAATATCTAACACAATACTAATGTACAATGACAGTACACACCTTTGACTGTGGTAACTTTGCTATTCGCAAACTGAGGATCTGTATTTTCCCAGTACATTACCACCTCGTTTCCACCAACACTGATCTCATAGGCTACAAGAAATATGTGCTGCTTTTTGCTGTAGGAAATGTATTTTGGTTGAACATCGACATTACCAGGAATCTGGGAAGAGAAGATTTGGTTCATATTCTCACAGATCAGAGGTAACAGAATAACATAGTACAAAGAAGTAACTGAATATTACCGTAGCGTAAAGCTTTTTGTAGATATTTTCACTTCCAGAAGTGAGATTATAAGCCATCAGGTTTGGCCCCTCAATATAAAAAGCTCTGACAGGATAATGAAGAACTCGGTTCTCCTTGCTGAAAAAATTTAGCTCTAGATGAATTGGCTGCCAAATTGAGTTTAAGTCAGTGTCTCGCCAATCTAAAGTTTTATGATAAATGAATGTTAACCTGAAAATAAATTAATTTTAACAACCTGGCAAATAGGGAAGTCTCGTAGTTGATGTTTTGTCTCCATAATAGTAATAAGAGGTAAACGAGATATTGCAGCACTCTTTGCATGGCCTTCCATGAAATGCTGTGACAAAACACAGATGATAAAATTCACCAACAGGGACAGATGAGGTACAGAAGCAGCTTTCATTCGGTGACTTCAAGCCATCTATAGGTATCAACATAATTTGCATGAAAATATTAATTGAAATGCTAAGATAATGTAAGAAAATATGAACAGTCATTTGCAATCCTAGTTGTTCTGGAGATTGGAGAAGCAAACTCATCCAGATTAGTGTGAATAAAACAAATAGATTGAATTAGAAGAATGTCTACTGTTGATTTAGTTTTCTGGGCAAGTTTATTGATAGATCGATATCTACCAGTAGCAGATAGCAATTGTCTGGGTCCATTTCAAAGCAAGTCAAAGAAAGATCCTTCAATAGTTTTTTTGAATTTATTGCATTTCCATCTAAAGTTGACAGACAACTATCAAAGTGCTTCAAGAAGTAAATACGACCTAAAGTACCTCCTGACACATTTTGCAAGAACATTATCAGCTTGTTTGTAAACACTTCTCCAATGACTATTATATGTAAAAGTCCATTTGAATAATTAATTCAAATTAATAATGGACTTATGGGTAAGTTGGTACTCCAAACAGTCCATTCTAGAGAAGTAAAACGTGGGACCTTTTGGAGAAGCCATTTTGCAAAGGTCAATTTAAAAAAATGGACCCTATAAAGTTCCACCAAACAAGCACTATGCGCGTGATTGTATATGTGTTATGATCCAACTCAACTGGTTATAACCGGTTGAGACATTTCATATCCAATCATCTAATTCAATATCCAACTCACCCCAACTCTCCTACTTTTTATAAGTATAATTAAATAATATCAATGAATCATTCACACATCACATCAACTTTAATTCACCATTCATATAATTTTAACTACGTATCACTTATAATCTCTCTCTTACTTTTACATTATATCAGCTTTAATCATTACATTTTAAATAATATTTAATTTTAAATCAACTTTATTCAAGATAACTCATTTTCACTCACCAAGATGGATCATAACCGATTTAATTTATATCCAATCGCCGCTTATGTCTTCAGACAAAGCACAACTACTTTTTTATGTCTCCCAAACAATCAACTGTTATGCAAATTTTATATTAGATTCAATGGTGGGCAGCGTGCCTCTCCTCTTTACCTTCTAATGGATTCATCTCAACAGTATCATAGGCTTATATGTAATAGAAAACTATGAACTCAACTTACATAAGTCCAATTTCTAGCTTGAAAACTCATCTTTCAGGTACATAACCATAAATGCAAGATATATTCACAGAATAAAAACTGCCTACAAGAAATAAGAAAGAAACTAGCATACACTGTAAAGAAATGCCTTCCTTGCAATGTCTGAGATTGTAAGCTGACTCTCTCTGGCCAAAACATTAAAAAAAAAATAAAAAATGTCAATGATGTCACCACTAGAATATCATCACAAAAATAAAAAGAAAAAGAAACAAGACAGAAGAGGTATTGAAGACAAGGGACTAGAAAAATAAAATACATTTTTAAAGAAATAAAAAAAAAAATGCTCAAACAGGGAATGGTTTCAAATTTCTAAACCTTAGGCTCAATCAGCTATCAGGAGCTCATTGTGAAGGTTTACCAAGCAGCACAGAAACTGATTGTGGCCAAATAAGCTATCACCCCACCTCCCCTACCCTACACCCACCTCCCCACCCACCCCCAGTCGACTCAATTTCAACTAAGCATCCCAAGAGTCTGGTTGCCCATTCTGCCATTCTATTTGTAATCTTCAATACTTAACAAGATATCATATGTATGACTACAATTTTTCTCTACTTATGGCTGTCAAATTCATAACAATTAGGCTGACACAATCATGATCAACTAATCTTTAAACTAGATATTTACCCTTGCATAATTAAAGCAAGATGGACACTACTGTGCTTGATTAAGCTAATGGTTACTAGTTGAAAACCAACTTCATTAATTGTTATGTATCTTAATTAACAGTATCTTAATTATACTGAAGTGTATTTCACAATGACCACTAAATAGCAGCTCACCAAGCAACTTACTCACCCTTTTGCATGATGCTCTTGCAGTTGGGCTTGCAGCTGGTGATCAGCTAATATACCAGATGAACCTAGAGCAGCGAGCTTCTCCTTCAATACAGATGCTGTTTAACAAAAATAATATTAGGTATCAAATACCAAATAGTATCATTCAAATTTCCTAATAGAAAGGAACAGAATTAAAATAAATGATTAGGATTGCAACATTCTTAATATGTAGAAATGTATTTATAAATAGTAGCGGAACATTTTCAGAGAGCCGTGAAATATATTTCGGAATAGTTTTCAGGGATAGTGGCAACTGGCAGGGAATGAGATGGAAATGTGAAGGTGAGAGTTGATCTGATGATTGTAGTGTTAATAGTGATTGAATGTGATCGTTGAGAAAACAAAAGGGAATGAGAAAATGAATACTGTATTTCATGCATTTCCACAAGCAATCACTTTGGGGTGTAAAGGTTATAATGAGGGGACGATTGTGTATAGTTAATTCACGAAAACAAGCACAGTTAGTCGAAGAACCTGCAAGCTGACGGACTATAAAAACATAATGCACCAGGACTCCAAGAGTTTACTATCTCTCTTAGAAATATGTCAGACTCACAACAACACTCAACAGCCAGAAATGATCTTAATGAAATAACTACAGAACAAGAGTTCAGATTACAGGTAAAGAAAAATATTTATCAGAATACAAAGCGAATATACATCAGATCCAATCACCAAACCTGTGAGTGCATATGCCTTATCTAATTAAGTAATCACCTGATGATCCTCTCGCACTTTGCAAGACAGCAAAGAGTTGTTTACGCCCCTCTCTAGTGTATGCAGCTCTGTTCTTGCGGTTGTCTCCACCAGTCATGTTCTATTAAGAATCACAGAGTCTAATTCCAACTACATAACATATCTCATAATGTGAATGAAGGTGAGTCCAAGTATGCTTACTGCAAAAAGTAGTGTTGCTAGATTCAATTTTGGGTGCACTTCTAAACCTCTTATTCGAGGGAGAGGATATACAGCTTCTCCACCTTGCTGAGATAGAATGCGAGGGATGTCTATAGATTCAATAGCTGCAGAATACCATATGAAGAGTATCATTCGGCAAAGTGTGAGTTTAAGAGCAAAAAAGTTAATGAAGTAACCAATGATTAACCTTCTGCCAAAATGTAGTCAGAATTATATTATAAAGTGTAGCTTCTGGTTGCATTTAGAACAAAACTCTGGTGACAAAAATGTCTCCAGAGTAAAATGTAATCACAGTGGAATATTAATAATATCTTTAACTATACATTTATCTCTTAAGAAAATTCCTTTCAGCACGATGAAAAATTATCTTTTCCCAGCGAAAAGGACATTCAAGAATAACTGTAGTGCTTGTATAATATTGTCCAGATAAAGAATAGAAAAAATCGTTTCATACCTATCAGACCTCTAAAAGCATGATATCTGCCTATCTAAGCAGGAATATACCCTTGAAAGAAAGAACTATATTTCTCAACTTACCAGCAGGCTCAAAAAAATTTGCTTGCATCGGAGGTCTGTTCGGATTCACATTCGTTCGAGTTTTCCACACTTGGATGCTTCCATCTCTGGACAAAGTGACTAGCAACCGCAACATCGGCAGCCAAGCAACTGATGTGATTGGTTGAGAACCAACTTGCGTGCTACAATTACACATCGCAAATGAGAAAAAAAAAACATAGTTCAAGAACACAAATAGATGTTAGAATTCCAAACACAGTTGAGAAAAAATAGGCAGAATACAGAATCTACAAATTTTCAAGTGCGGAAGTTTACCACATTTACTCTAGGCTAAAAGCATCTTCAATGGCACAATGTCCATTCTGAGATGTATGATATGAAGAAAATGAAATAAGAAGTTGCATCTCCAACGCTTAATGTGGATTTTGCAATAATGTGACACGTGGAAGCTATATACCTTGTTGGAGAAGAAAAATAATGAGGAGAAAGAATAGAACATTGAACAGAAGATGTCTAGTAAGTTCTGCATCTAGAAAGAACTTCTAGACATTTTCCTTGCCGCATAGGATATTTTTTTACCACGAGGCATCAGAATTGGGCAATTCGTGGCCCATCAGAGGTGCAAAGAGTTATGTTTTATGCCATCTAAACTCTTAATAAGCTCAACTTACTTAAGGTCTTGCTTATGCTATTCAATTTGTGTAAGGTAACCTTGTTATCACCCCAGATCCCATCAGTACACAAATTAAGAACAGAAGAACCATTGCAGAATTCCTGATACTAGGAGGTTGACAGACAATACAATCATGAATAGAGTTTCTGTACTACAGCTGAACTGCACAGGAGATTGAAGAGATTTATAGTTTGTGCATTTCCCTACAGTTATCGAAGTAGCACAAAAGGCTATAACTAATTGATAAATATGTATTTACAGAATAAAATATCATGAATGGCATAGGCACGGCTTACATTCCAATCATCAAAGGTCTTTCGGTAGATACATCCCATGCCAAAACTGTACCTCTTCTATCACCCACAAAAATCCACTCCAATGTTGGATGGAATGCAAATGCACCAGCACCCAGTAGCTTAATTGTATTGTCAACTGAAAAGGTTTCAATTAGGTAAAAGTACAATTTGAAAGGAAATTGGAATAAGACTAAATTATCATGTAGTCTGCCAAAAAATAGTATATGGGCCAGAAAGGTTGTGGAGTTCTTACGTTGCAGGGTGTAGTGAACAGCATATGTATGGATATTGTAAGCTCTTATCAGACCATCTTGATAAGCCACATACTAGTAACAGAAAGGAAGATACAAATATCAGCCCCAAAGGTGATAGGAACTACTAGACACAAGCAAATGGTTGTAATCAGAACAATTTGGTCTTTCAAGATGGCATATTCTCACCAAGGCAGGAAGGCGAGGATGGCAAGCGAGATTAACTATAGGTTTCTTCAGGTCTGTCTTTATTTTAGTAGGAGCTTTCCCTCCTACCACAGTTCCAACAACTTGACACAAGGCAAAACATTATAAATTCAGCACAAGGTAAGCAGAATAATTCAAAAGATCCTAAAATAGTAATTGCAACCAGAATAAGATGCATGCTGCCATACTATTTGAGTTGATTAAAACTAGTAACCACTGACAACTTTTAATCAGGGATACAAGGAGAAAAAAACAGGATCATTTAGTACTCTGTTTTGAAAAGAAATTTGAAACAATTATCTGCATCAGACTTACACACGTCAGTGTAATGTTTAACAACAGAACACGACACAGTTATGTAGCAGATAAGCATTGAAGAACTAAACTTGTTTCTTCCAAATGCAATTTCCTAGTTACAAAGAGAATCTAGCTTTCTGAAAGAAGTTTTTACATATGTGCCACATTTGTCGCCACAGTACATAGTATGCACTCTTGGATGAAGTTTTTCACACTGACAGACTCATTAGGTTCTTAAATAAAGAAAAGCTATCATCTTCTTCAGCTCCTGATACATTTTCTATAAAGCAGTGGAACAGACCACAACCATTATCGTACAAACACCAACATTTGGATATTCTTACTAAATGGCGGAAACGTGGTTCTTACCAGATGAGGACCAAATCAATGCAGTATAAATTAACTATTCTCCCCACCCCACACGCACACACAACACCAAACCAGATATACGAACAGCTAATAACTGTTGCAGTCATAAATAGATATTCACAAATGAAAACTTGCATGGGTGCCAGGTGATAATGGCTCCTACATCATACAAACATGGACATCTACTTGCATCTTCTCATCATCTTTTTACAAATACAAGAGCAAGAAGGACCATGCTAATTGTGTGCAACTTCACCATGTCATTATGTTCAACTAAAACCAACCCCACCCGCACACGCACAAGCACCTCGTTAGCTCATTCGTTCTCCAAACCCCATGGAATGATAATCTCCTAACACATTTAGGAAAACAAGAATAACAAATTAAGATAAAATTCAAATAACCTGTTACGCTCATCTTTTTATGGAAACCAAAAAATACAACAGGCTGAAGAGGAGTCAATGCAAGATGGACTTCGGTGTCAATAGATATCTGTTCTGATCTCTTTTCTGGTGAGTGTAACACACAAGTTTGTTCACTATCAAAGTCACAAGACCGGATAGTGCAATCCTGTACACAAAACAGAAACCATCCACACGTGAGGAGGAGGCCATATTAATAGTTTTTATAATTTCTGTACTGGAATAATATGAATGGCAAAGCAGAAAAATGACTAAATACTATATGACACTATGTAATCAGAGACGGATACACGGAATTGGAGAGATTTGCTATTGTTCAAACTCTTATATAACAAAAGAGAATAAAAGAAGAAAGCAAAAGCTTCCACATTAAATGATAAGCAAAACAGAAAATTTGCTCCAACAACAAGAACAAGAAAAAGAATTATCATTTGCAGCTCATTTGATTATAGCTCAACTACTATCAAATTTCCAATTTCAATTTCAATTGAAAGGTGATCAATAAAGTCATCAAGGCAATTGATTAATATCCATGCTATAACAATTCAGAAGCAAGCTGGGCGTCTTTTCAATGTCCAGCTCCATGAGCACACGAGGAGCATAAATCCAATATATAAATAGCCAGAATCTTATACATGAATCATACGCCACATAATCCCATAATATTTAGAAAGCACAGAGTGGATAAAGTAGATCAAGGGCATCATAAATGTGCCCATTCCAGCTATTACGTGTTTTAAAACTTTATTTGCCTCTTCCCTGCACACTCCAACTAACCGATTTATTCCTATCTCAACTTCTTCATCCCCAGTCCCAATATGCAATATGAAGGCAAATGACAACAGATCAAATTAAACTCATAACATCTCACTCTTAGACTCTTAGAAAAGGTGCCAACTGAAGTGAAATATGAAATACCAAGAGCACTGACCTCAAGTATAGCGATCAATGAATGACCAGCTGTGGGACTGTACGCCATGCGGACAACAGGCGAGCCTATATCCACAGAGGCGATCTTACTCCCCGTATACGCATCGAACTCTGCAGTCCACACGGAAACAAGTTCAATCCACACGCCATTACTAAATACGAAAAACACAAACGCAACATTGGCAAAAGGAGAGGGTACCAATTATGTAAGTGCCGATTGCGGCGGAGACCAGAGCCTGCGTCGGGTGGAATGCAGCGGCGTGGGGCTGTAAAGGCTTGGAGCTCCGACCCGCGTGCCGGAGATCCAGATGCTGCACCGTTGTCCACTCCATTACAATTCAGGCAATTTATTCGCGAAATAAAGTCAGAGATACGACGGAAATTGATCAGATTGACACATCTGCGAGCGGATTACGAGCTTTCCACCAGTGAAAAACCTAGATCGTAAGACGAACAAACGGCTCCGAAAAATTACGGAAAGATCTCAGGTCGGGATGAACAGGATAGCAAAGATTGAGGTTCTCTGTAGCGTTAGTCGCGGGAAAAATCACTCAAAACAATGTACAGTTGTGGATCCACCAAGCTTCAAGTTTTTTTTTTTTTTTTTTNATTATTTGGGTACACCAAGCTTCAAGGTTTTGGCTATGGCGTTTAGAATGATTCGAGGCAAAGTGATGAAAAAAGTCGAGTTGCGATGTGTATCGATAAAGATTAATGCTCTTGAGCCAATTTTAGACATGGCCAGTCAACCGGTTCGCATTTTAGTTGAACTGGAGCCGGACCGGTAATAGGTACATGCAGGTTCGAAACCGGCCCGAAGAACCTGTCCAGGAACCGAAGGGCCTTTGCAGTTTTTTTGTATTTTCTTTTTAGAATTGGAGGGGAAAATAAGAAAAAAATGAATTTGTAATTATTTGAAATATAATAAGTTAAAATATAAAAGACTATTACCAATTAGAATATCAAAGGCTATTACCAATACATTGCCCCAAGTTAGGTGGTATTACCAAATTAGTACCTCACCTTATTACATGACGAACAATGCTACAAGTACATAATAAATGTACATAATATTCACATGGAATGGGGTCTACTTGATTTTTTATTTTTGGTAGGACTCACTCCATTTAAGTATTATGTACACCTCTATGTACATGATTATGTACCAATAGCATTTTTCTTACATGACTAGTTTCACTACCTCATGCTTACGATTATTGCTCAATTTGATACTCGGTTGTCACACAAACGTTAGTAAATAGAGGCAACAACCAATAATGGAAGGACATTTGAATAGAGTACCATCAATAACCTCAATATAAGTCAATAGAACAACTCACCCACATTTATGTTAGAGAAATTTTCTCCAACATAAACTAAAAAATTGAGAGAGTGCAATTCCTCAATATTTTTAGTATGGCATCTGTAAAAATGTCATGAAAGAAACAGTTGCAAATTTGTCAGAAGGGCAACAAGTAGAGAAAAATTAAAAAGACTCAATAACCGAGGATTGCCTAAGTCAGGGGTACAAGACATCGCAGTGAAAATAGACCGTTGAGTGGCCTCAAGTCACCATCATCAGCAAGGAGGACGATGTCGTAAGGAGTTTGGTTCAATTTCTGAATGAGGTCTTAATAAGCCTTGTTTGACTTGGTGGGATTGAATTGTTCAGGTTTCTTATCGTGGGAAAAGTCAAAAGTCCATAGGGGAGGTCGCATGGAATAGTATTTAGATTGCCATTCGGGGATGTTATAAGGGAGATTGTCAAGAAAGTTCGCATTGTTGCAGGCTTGCAGCGAGAAAGGTAGAATGAACCCTTATGGGGCTTCATCCAGTAGCAATAAAAGAAAATATTAGGGTCAAACGAGTGAAGGATGCAACAACTAATGATGCAGTAGCCCACCATAAAGCCAATGGATTTGGGGGCGAAGTGAGTTAAAGAGACTTTGCAGAGCTGGGCTAGCTGTAAGAGGTCGTTTTTCAAAGGAGAAGTAAGACCGGCATACACATGCTTTGCAAAAAAGAAGTAGAATTCCTCGGGGGGATTACAGAAAAAATCCCTAGCTTTTGGGAGTTGAAGTTCCCATGACCGAGGAAGCTCGCACTCATGCCTCAAGAATTCAAGGTTAGTACCCGACCAGGTAGTCAAGGGAATAGGTCTAGCGTCTTGTACTAGGTTGGGACAAAGTGCAGCATGAGCTCCTTCGGCGACAGTCACCTAGGCGGGACGATGCGAAGATATAAGGGATAACAACAAAAGGAATGGTTTGGGCGATTGAGAAATTATCAATAATGGTATTTAGTCGATTTTGGGAAGAGGAGGTCGAAGAGCTTGACGACATGACTAAAAATTGTTTTCAATAGTAAAAGGAGACGGGCTAAGTAATCTCCAAAAAAGGCTCGAAAGCAAGATTGAAACTTCATAAAAAAAAATGAAAATATAAAGCATGAGAGGTCTAAAATGTACCCATTAGACTTGAACAAAGGAGTATCGGTGAAACTGACAAAATTTAAAAGATGGTTTTGAGGATTCAAGCCAATTAAAAGCATAAGGAAGACGATTC